TTTGAAATATTTGGCAACCTACATCTACGCCCCGTATACGTCTTCATTTCATGGTTCTTGGCAAAGGGGCAAATTTACCTTTCTACTAAACAGTCAAGACCACATGACGTCACAATACGGAAACCCACGATCGAAATCATATCATATATCGCAACTTGATACATTACGTTGATATTCAAAATGAGAGTTGACATAAATATTAACCTGTGTACTCGATTATTAAATGTTTTGGCGATGGTTAATTACACCTGACCACAAACAACAGACCTAAGTTCTGAAACGCTGTGTTTTTTTAAAATACCAGACGATGCACAAAGACAGAAATCCAGATGAACAAGTATCGATTCTTGATATTGTCTCTACAGAACGCACCCTGTACATATTGACCTCTGAAGTACATGACAGTATTCTGAAAACACCTGGTCTAGTGTCTTCTGAGACGCTTCAACCAGGCTTGCTGTCTTTTGCAGTTCGTCGAAGTGGACTGAGGGTACTGACTGGCTCTGTGGGGACGACTTGGCTTGTGGGTTGCTTCTTTGTGGGACGGGGAACGAAACATTCTCTGAGGTGAGTGACGAGGGCGATGTCTTGCGAGATTTCGTTTTGTTTCGAGGAAGAACATGGCACATAGTTGATCTATATGATATAAATTATTATTAAATTCCTTTATTACAGTGTCTGATAACAGCAAAGAACCTTTGACAGGCAAACACTAATAAATATGTACATTAAACAAAAAAAGTATTGTGAAACAAAACAAAATACATATACCCAATCTAAAAAATTATGATACTGTTTTCGCTAAAAATGTCCAAAAATCTACGTTTGTCATTTTCAGCGATGACGCATCTAGCCGAAGGACTTTCTTAATGCACTGCTCACGTATGAAGGCATAAAATTCTCTTACGTACCTTGTAGGCACATGGATGACCAACAGTGTCCATGATGGAAAGACAGTTTATTTTGTCCTTGAAAACATTAATAAAGGAGACGTCATCTTCTGGAATAAATCATTCTAAAATTTAATCAATTCAAATTAAATCTTAATTACTTTAAATATTGCATTACAACAAACGCGAAGAACACGAAACTGGCTAATGTTCTTTGTACAATTTTTGTTTTACTGGAATAATAAAAATAATGTATTTGTAGTTGAATATACTACTGAAAAATAATGTAATTCCGAGTTTAGACTCTTCGTATAATTATACCTACAGCAGTGACAGTCTCATATCAACTCCTTTTGTAATAAACTAAAGTATTTTATCATAATAAATTTTATGAATCAAACGATCTAATGGAGCACTTTGCTGAACCATAATACAGAAGTCACTGCATTTTGCAACGTTATTTATTGACAGATCTTAAGCGAAAAGAAGAATGGATTTTCCAGAAGACAGCAAACCAGACCGGAAAATTCCTGACAAATCTGGGAAACGAAGACGACAGAAGCAAGAGAGCAGCGCCTTTGGACATGGAAGCGACCGCCCTGACCTTGAATCTTCGTCAGAGGGACGGAACGTCGCTACTGTAGAGACTACACAGGATCGGGAAATATTCGGCAAGATTCGGCGACGAAGACAACAGAAGCAAGAGAGCAGCGCCTTTGGAAATGGAAACGACCGCCCTGACCTTGAATCTTCGTCAGAGCGACGTCCCATCGCTGCTGTAGAGAATACACCGGATCGGGAAATGTTCGGCAAGATTCGGCGACGAACACAACAGAAGCAAGAGAGCAGCGCCTTTGGAAATGGAAACGACCGCCCTGACCTTGAATCTTCGTCAGAGGGACGGAACGTCGCTACTGTAGAGACTACACAGGATCGGGAAATATTCGGCAAGATTCGGCGACGAAGACAACAGAAGCAAGAGAGCAGCGCCTTTGGAAATGGAAACGACCGCCCTGACCTTGAATCTTCGTCAGAGCGACGTCCCGTCGCTGCTGTAGAGACTACACAGGATCGGGAAATGTTCGGCAAGTCCGGGCAACACAGTCAACATTTGCAGGGGAGCTGCGCCACTGAGCATCAAGCCGACCCCCCTGAAGTTACGCCCCCAGTAAGGGAACATGCTGTCGCTACTGCAGAGTCAAATCCAGTTCAGGTTTTTCAAGAACCTGTTCGTCCAGGTGTTCAAGAACAGCAACCTCCACACGGACTTCCATTTGCTCATACTTCGACCAGAAATGCTGAGTACCAGTATTCTTATCAACATCTGAATCAGATTGAAAACATGGTTTATCATCAACGGTATCAGTACATTCCATATCAGAATGGACGTGTCATGTATCCGTGGCCGTGTATGTATTCAGTTGAGGGAGTTTTTCGTGTAGTTCCACTACAAGTTTACCAATTTCTTTCGCAGTTTCAAAATTTCCCATATCCGTTTCCTAATTTTTTTCCGTTTCCGGTTGATAACCCGTACTTCGGTAGTTTACCTTATTTTCAAGTGCAGGTTACACCGCCCTCCGTAGTTCCGCTGATGCCGCTACAGACACAGTCAACATTTGCAGGGGAGCTGCGCCACTGAGCATCAAGCCGACCCCCCTGAAGTTACGCCCCCAGTAAGGGAACATACTGTCGCTACTGCAGAGTCAAATCCAGTTCAGGTTTTTGAAGAACCTGTTCGTCCACGTGTTCAAGAACAGCAACCTCCACACGGACTTCCATTTGCTCATACTTCGACCAGAAATGCTGAGTACCAGTATTCTTATCAACATCTGAATCAGATTGAAAACATGGTTTATCATCAACGGTATCAGTACATTCCATATCAGAATGGACGTGTCATGTATCCGTGGCCGTGTATGTATTCAGTTGAGGGAGTTTTTCGTGTAGTTCCACTACAAGTTTACCAATTTCTTTCGCAGTTTCAAAATTTCCCATATCCGTTTCCTAATTTTTTTCCGTTTCCGGTTGATAACCCGTACTTCGGTAGTTTACCTTATTTTCAAGTGCAGGTTACACCGCCCTCCGTAGTTCCGCTGATGCCGCTACAGACCGAGCGGGTGCGAAGGGCTGGACCTTCACACCCTGGACGGCGTCTTCAGCCTCAAGAATTGCCGATTTTGAATTATGATAGACGACGAACTGAGAGCCGAGCACAGCGGGGTACTCATGGACGTCTTCAGTATCAAAGACATGAAGATCGTCGGCAAACATTCTGGTGTGAAAAATGTAACGAGTGTCATTTTCGGAAGCAAGACATGCCAGGTGCAAATAAAGAATTGCAAGATGATAATTCAGAGAGGAAAGTCGATGAAGCCCACGGAAGTCCCATACCCGTTTCCTAATTTTTTTCCGTTTCCGGTTGCTAACCCGTACTACGGTAGTGCACCTCATTTTCAAAGGCAGGTTACACCGCCCTTCGTAGTTCCGCTGATGCCGCTACAGCCCCAGGGGGAGCGAAGGGCTGGACCTTCACACCCTGGACGGCGTCTTCAGCCTCAAGAATTGCCGATTATGAATGTTGATAGACAACGAAATGAGAGCCGAGCACAGCGGGGTACTCATGGAGGTCTTCAGTATCAAAGACATGAAGATCGTGGGCAAACATTCTGGTGTGAAATATGTAACGAGTGTCATTTTCTGAATTAAGACTTTCCAGGTGCAAAGGAAGAATTGCAAGATGATAATTCAGAGAGGAAAGTCGATGAAGCCCACGGAAGTCAGCGGCGTGCAAATGTCCAAGATAGAAATAATGATGGGATGGTTGGTGAGTGGCTGTCGAAACATTTCCTCGAGAGTGAGGAACTTTCAGAAGGTGTACACGAAGCGGAAGATCGGAGTGCAGAAACTGAAGGAGCACACGGAGTGAAAGGTAAACGTGAAGATATTAAAGGAAGAACACGCGACGTGGAAGGTGATCGTGGCGAACCGACAGGAAGTACTCATAAAGAGGCGCGAAGGAAAATTTACGTTTCTGGTGATGTCTCTCAAGCAACTGGACAGCTTCACTCCAAACTGGGAATTCGAGTAGCAAATAAAGCTGGACAAGGACATTCGGTTTCAGAGAGCCAGTTACCTCATTGTTCCAAACAGTACGCAGAAGACGAATGTGCTCAAGGACCTTGGGAAACTGGAGAGGAGCAGGAGACGGAAGGTGTTTTATCACCGACGAAAGGCAAATTTGTTTTAGATTCTACGCCAGAACAGCATTGACAGTCTCATATCAGTTACACGGTATTATAAAACATTGATGTGCTGAAGTCAATACCTGCGGACACCTTATTGGAGATATGTGCCCCGACCCATTTGCCTGTTCCAAACATTTACCATATACACACGTATGTAACAAACAGTAATAATAACATTGTGAATATTGGGGACCTGAAGTGAAGATGACATTCGGGAAGATATTATGAAAATTTACCTGGCAGAAATTGATTTAAAAGATAGGGACAAGTGGCGGATTTTTGTGGACACAGTTATAAACTTTTGGGTCACGCAAAAGTCTGAGAAATTCTTTTGAAATTGAGTATTTATTAGTACACACAGGTTGCTTCGTATATTTCTCACGGTCGTCACATTAAAGAACGCCTGTTTATCCGTAAACTCCTTTTGTAATAAACTAAAGTATTTTATCATAATAAATTTTATGAATCAAACGATCTAATGGAGCACTTGGCTGAACCATAATACAGGAGTCACTGCATTTTGCAACGTTATTTATTGACAGATCTTAAGCGAAAAGAAGAATGGATTTTCCAGAAGACAGCAAACCAGACCGGAAAATTCCTACAAAGTCTGGGAAACGAAGACGACAGAACCAGAAGAGTAGTCGCGTTGGACATCAAACCGACCGCCCTGACGTTACGTCTTCTTCAGAGGGACGTCCCGTCGCTGCTGTAGAGACTACACCGGATCGGGAAATGTTCGGCAAGACTCGGCGACGAACACAACAGAAGCAAGAGAGCAGCGCCTTTGGAAATGGAAACGACCGCCCTGACCTTGAATCTTCGTCAGAGCGACGTCCCATCGCTGCTGTAGAGAATACACCGGATCGGGAAATGTTCGGCAAGATTCGGCGACGAACACAACAGAAGCAAGAGAGCAGCGCCTTTGGAAATGGAAACGACCGCCCTGACCTTGAATCTTCGTCAGAGGGACGGAACGTCGCTACTGTAGAGACTACACAGGATCGGGAAATATTCGGCAAGATTCGGCGACGAAGACAACAGAAGCAAGAGAGCAGCGCCTTTGGAAATGGAAACGACCGCCCTGACCTTGAATCTTCGTCAGAGCGACGTCCCGTCGCTGCTGTAGAGACTACACAGGATCGGGAAATGTTCGGCAAGTCCGGGCAACACAGTCAACATTTGCAGGGGAGCTGCGCCACTGAGCATCAAGCCGACCCCCCTGAAGTTACGCCCCCAGTAAGGGAACATGCTGTCGCTACTGCAGAGTCAAATCCAGTTCAGGTTTTTCAAGAACCTGTTCGTCCAGGTGTTCAAGAACAGCAACCTCCACACGGACTTCCATTTGCTCATACTTCGACCAGAAATGCTGAGTACCAGTATTCTTATCAACATCTGAATCAGTACCTTCAATGTGGGGGTGTCATGTATCCGTGGCCTAGTATGTATCCACCTGGGGGAGGTATTTATGCACATCCACTACAAGGTGACCAATCTGTTTTCCAGTATCAAAATTACCCGTACCCTTTAACTAATTTTTTTCCGTTTCCGGTTGCTAACCCGTACTACGGTAGTGCACCTCATTTTCAAAGGCAGGTTACACCGCCCTTCGTAGTTCCGCTGATGCCGCTACAGCCCCAGGGGGAGCGAAGGGCTGGACCTTCACACCTTGGACGGCGTCTTCAGCCTCAAGAATTGCCGATTATGAATGTTGATAGACAACGAAATGAGAGCCGAGCACAGCGGGGTACTCATGGAGGTCTTCAGTATCAAAGACATGAAGATCGTCGGCAAACATTCTCGAGTGAAGTATGTAAAGAGTATCATTTTCCGAAGAAAGACTTTCCAGGTGCAAAGGAAGAATTGCAAGATGATAATTCAGAGAGGAAAGTCGATGAAGCCCACGGAAGTCAGCGGCGTGCAAATGTCCAAGATAGAAATAATGAAGGGATGGTTGGTGAGTGGCTGTCGAAACATTTCCTCGAGAGTGAGGAACTTTCAGAAGGTGTACACGAAGCGGAAGATCGGAGTGCAGAAACTGAAGGAGCACACGGAGTGAAAGGTAAACGTGAAGATATTAAAGGAAGAACACGCGACGTGGAAGGTGATCGTGGCGAACCGACAGGAAGTACTCATAAAGGGGCGCGAAGGAAAATTTACGTTTCTGGTGATGTCTCTCAAGCAACTGGACAGCTTCACTCCAAACTGGGAATTCGAGTAGCAAATAAAGCTGGACAAGGACATTCGGTTTCAGAGAGCCAGTTACCTCATTGTTCGAAACAGAATCCAGACGTCGATTGTGCTCAAGGACCTTGGGAAACTGGAGAGGAGCAGAAGACGGAAGGTGTTTTATCACCGACGAAAGGCAAATTTGTTTTAGATTCTACGCCAGAGTCGGAGGGCGGAAGTTTTAGAGGCATCAAGCGAGACCTTAACATACAGGAGGTCCAAGTTCCTGGACAAACTCCACAGAGACTAAAAAGTGGAAGAAAGACCCGACGTGAACAGCAGGAAGAAGACGATGAGTGTGCAGAGGTACTGAAACTCTCGGAAGAGTTTCCTGACAATCGAGTGATGTGTCCATTTCGGAGGCTGCCCTTGAAGCCCTGCGATTGGATAGGGGATATGAGGGGAAGGAGGAGACATGTCATGTTCCAGCACTATGACGATGTGGTGCATGGCAATAAAGTAACATTGACACCCGACAGTGCTCGCCTATTGATTGCATATGACGAAATGTTTCTGTGTTTCACGTACACGAACCCGGTAACGAGAAGGTTGTACTGTGTTACTCTGCACGTTTGCAAGGGGTACAGTTGCAGCGAGCTGTACCAATACAGATGCGAACTGCTTTCCAGGAGCAGGGACGAGAAGATCGTAGACACTCGGTTGGTGTCACCTTTGAGCAAACCGTTTTATGCTCTTATGACGTCCGGTAGATGCGTTAGGTTCGACGAAAAAGTGTTAAGGTGTTTTATGGGTGACAGAATAATCATATCTTTCACAATTATACGTCGTGAAAAATTTCAGTTTTAGATGGAAATATTATGCGAACAAGGATACACGAATATGTCCAGAACACAGTATTACGAGACACAAATTCATCCCAACACTTTTCTTACATTTAATAAATTTTATGTAGGTGGGCGCAGACAAGTTTATGAACAACAAATTAATCATGTTAAAGCCTGAAAATTGTGAAATTTCTACTCCAGGTAATTTCACAAGTATGGCAGAAACTAACTTGAAAATGACTGTGACAGAATTAAGTGAAAGGAAAGAATTAGATTTGATTTTAATAACTAGACTAACAGCGTTACTTTTGTCTTAGATTACAACTCAGAATAATTATCCACGAAGAACTTTTGGTTTTGTTGATTCGTACAAGATGTAAAATGTTAGCTGCTTTATATTAAGTTGAATTTCTATTAATTTCTCAAATTTATAAATGTAGCAAACGAAAACAAAGTACATGATCGTTATAAGACAGAGTACGATATATTATCGTACACATATAGTCCTTTATATGCGAACGAAATCAAATACAACATACTTTCCAGTTGTGGACAGAACAACAAAGACTGTGCCCCCCAGAGATGAAGTAGTAGTGGATTGCCATTTGATTACTTTTTTAAATTTAAACAATTAAGGTGTCAATTTTAACAAATGCTTCTTATGGAAAATGTTTGTGTCCCGCAATAACTGTGAGTGACCTTTTTATAATTCATATATTTAATGTAATTTACTCAATTGCTTTAGGATTCTTTTATTTCTACCAATTTTTTTAAAACGATTTTAATTGTAACATCATTGAAGGCAAGCAAGTACTGAAACAACTATTATATTTACATGTTTTTTGTATGTCGATATATGAGGAACCACTGCTTTACCAGTGTTCCTCATTGTGTGAAAATATATCAGAATATGCTCATTATCATTGTTTGTTATTATTATATTAATATTGTCATTCTGTATCCTTATTGCAAATGTATGAATTACCATCCTGACTGAGCCTTACTCCTTCTGTTGATTGTTATAGATAATGATTTAAGACTGAAAGCGGTCTAATATACTTGTCTACTAAGATTTATAAAAACACCCGATCTGGAATTTAAGGAAATAATTTTAATAGTTTGTGAGACAAAAGTTTTAACAATTCTCCGACGGAAAATAAATAGAAGTTCCACGTATTATGTATGACTCTGTGGAACTTGCATTAGATGTTGGCGCATTCACCTGTTAAATCGTGCAGTATCATCTTTTGCGTCTTGGTGTGAAGAAATTTCTTTTTACTGAGATCGCTGGCAATAAAATTAACCGTCTCCCAGATGTCAAGTGCAAGACATAATGACTTAAAATAACAATTTTCAGACGCCTCGTTGAAATTTCCCATTGATTATAATCTTCAAAATGTTCCCCAATCCATTTTGAGCGGAGAATGAACACGCACTTAAACTTTCTATTATAAATGATATTTAAAGCTCCCACGACGGTGAAGAAGCCCTTGGTTGTAACGCCTTGTGAACTTCGCAGATGCCATCGTTTCGGACCAACGAACTGCTTCCATCTTCAGGGCTATAATCCAAAAGGCCAGCATAGACGTAGTTAATTTATGGGTTTTTTTCCCAGCGTTTTCACAAAAACAAATCTGACGTTCTGTTCAAAAGTGATAAAACAATATTTATACCAGGCAAATAACTGCTTTTGACAGGGTTCACGTAATGCTTCGTTGTTAAATTGTACAGCGGACGCAAAATAACTCCGAGCCATGTGATGCTTCGTTGTTAAATTGTACGGTGTTTTTTTAATATAAATATTTGTCTTGATCGTTTGCTTTTATTGTGCAATACGAATTTCGTAATAAAACTTGTATTATATACAGCATAGTGTGAAGTTTTCTTATTTTGATTTCGTTACCCTCACAAAGCCCTGTATAATGCTAGATGGCAAAGTGTTCTTTATTTCGCAAAAAAATTATTGATATCAGGCGGTGTATCTTCGTGTGGCTGGACTTTGCCTCTTGGATTTTATGAGAAATATACAAATACGGAACTGGTCCATTTTTATATATATGTGATCGTTCATCACGTATTAAAAGAATAAAAAGATAAATTAATATGAGCATGTTGTAAGAATGGACTTTTAGATTGAATTTTATGAAACTGATGCCAAATTACTGTTCAGTACTATTTTAAATTTTTACATGCATTTGGCCCCAAACGTAATTTGTCTGTACTTACGTGTTTGTTCCGTCTGTTCACAATTTGCTGAACTCGCTGTACGTGCGTATTAACACAGATTCACTTCACTTCCAATATTTAGTGCATTTGAGATCAAGGTCCAAGGTTCCCTGCGTGATGCGAGGTGTATGATGAGTCACTGTGACTGCGATTGCTTCTGTTGTCAGGTCAAGGACACCTCCTTTCTATTCCCTTACCGGTAAATTTTTCAACGTGTGGCCCGCTAGCTCATAAGCAGGGACGAGTGTGCTTCGAAGTCTTGAATGGCCGAGAACCCCATGTGTGTAGTATTTGTGGTCGAAACACCATCGTCAAAGCCGAGTTCGTATTCCATATGTCATTTTTCAGAATCTCGGCTCGGAGACCGGTTATTTTGTTAGGTCTTTCGTGGTTTTACTCAGATTATCCAAATGCCGCAGTCATAGAACCTTAAATAAGGCCATGACTACTGCATCCTTCCAAATCCTTGCTATTCATTGTTCACGAGTCGTCTTAATATTCAACGCTAAATAGTCTGGGCTAATAAATGCGTCGTTAAATAAGATAAGAACAAAGAAAATTTAAAACTGTCGTTGAACAACGTGAGACTGGTAGCAAAGACAGAAATGCTTATGTACGCCGGTAGCACTGACTAATGCTGTTGCTCAGGAGGTCACCTGCTTTGATCATTACAAACTTCATTAAAATATGGGAACCACCGTTATCAGCCTCACAGTGTTCTTGAGTGTTTCACCGTGAATCGTGTAATTCCAAACCACAGTTTGTAACTCACATCCGCTTCATTCCTTTAATCTGCCACTGCTCAGGAACGTGTACATGCCAAGCATGCTACCGTTCCTGTAGCATTTACGAAACCTCGTGTCAAACAAGTTCCTAGAATAACCTACTAAGATTCCTATTGCTTTAAATACAAAATTCAGCTAGAATGCGAACCGGGGAAGACCAAACAATAAACAGACCAGTGACGGATGCATTACCGAGTTTAAGAATACCACGATGAGACAAATCAATTCCGTATCTTCCCACCCTATTCCACCAAATATCTGTTCAATAGAATCCTTCCACCAATGTCTACATGTTCCGACTCTGTCCTTCAGAATTTCCAACCAAAATTCTGCACGAATTTCTCATCTCCGTGTGTGTTACATGTCCCGCCCATCTCATTCTCGTGATTTGATCATTCAAGGAATTCCTGCGTTCACCTAGACAATTATACTACGTTATCTCAATAAGAAATGAAGTTCGCCGTCAATGTAGTGCCCTGCACTACCGCAGATCCAGTCATTTGAGTTGTCACACAGTTACAAAACGTAAAATATTTTTGTTTTCACTTGAAATTAAAGGCCCCCGTGTCGGGGTTTGATGTCTTGAAGAGGCAGAGGTCTCTATGTTTGCCATCACTGTGTCCAGAACGACCTTTGGTCCACCGAGCCCCTTACCAGAGGCTGCTAGGGTCTGTTTTCTCGGCAGTAAAATTACTGAAGCCTCAAGCTGACATAACTTCCTTCCAGTACCCAGTTTTGAAATATTTGGCAACCTACATCTATACGTCTTCATTTCATGGTTCTTAACAAAGGGGCAAATTTACCTTTCTACTAAACAGTCAAGACCACATGACGTCACAATACGGAAACCCACGATCGAAATCATATCATATATCGCAAGTTGATACATTACGTTGATATTCAAAATGAGAGTTGACAAGCTTACGTAAATATTAACCTGTGTACTCGATTATTAAATGTTTTGGCGATGGTTAATTACACCTGACCACAAACAACAGACCTAAGTTCTGAAACGCTGTGTTTTTTTAAAATACCAGACGATGCACAAAGACAGAAATCCAGATGAACAAGTATCGATTCTTGATATTGTCTCTACAGAACGCACCCTGTACATATTGACCTCTGAAGTACATGACAGTATTCTGAAAACACCTGGTCTAGTGTCTTCTGAGACGCTTCAACCAGGCTTGCTGTCTTTTGCAGTTCGTCGAAGTGGACTGAGGGTACTGACTGGCTCTGTGGGGACGACTTGGCTTGTGGGTTGCTTCTTTGTGGGACGGGGAACGAAACATTCTCTGAGGTGAGTGACGAGGGCGATGTCTTGCGAGATTTCGTTTTGTTTCGAGGAAGAACATGGCACATAGTTGATCTATATGATATAAATTATTATTAAATTCCTTTATTACAGTGTCTGATAACAGCAAAGAACCTTTGGCAGGCAAACACTAATAAATATGTACATTAAACAAAAAAAGTATTGTGAAACAAAACAAAATACATATACCCAATCTAAAAAATTATGATACTGTTTTCGCTAAAAATGTCCAAAAATCTACGTTTGTCATTTTCAGCGATGACGCATCTAGCCGAAGGACTTTCTTAATGCACTGCTCACGTATGAAGGCATAAAATTCTCTTACGTACCTTGTAGGCACATGGATGACCAACAGTGTCCATGATGGAAAGACAGTTTATTTTGTCCTTGAAAACATTAATAAAGGAGACGTCATCTTCTGGAATAAATCATTCTAAAATTTAATCAATTCAAATTAAATCTTAATTACTTTAAATATTGCATTACAACAAACGCGAAGAACACGAAACTGGCTAATGTTCTTTGTACAATTTTTGTTTTACTGGAATAATAAAAATAATGTATTTGTAGTTGAATATACTACTGAAAAATAATGTAATTCCGAGTTTAGACTCTTCGTATAATTATACCTACAGCAGTGACAGTCTCATATCAACTCCTTTTGTAATAAACTAAAGTATTTTATCATAATAAATTTTATGAATCAAACGATCTAATGGAGCACTTTGCTGAACCATAATACAGAAGTCACTGCATTTTGCAACGTTATTTATTGACAGATCTTAAGCGAAAAGAAGAATGGATTTTCCAGAAGACAGCAAACCAGACCGGAAAATTCCTGACAAATCTGGGAAACGAAGACGACAGAAGCAAGAGAGCAGCGCCTTTGGACATGGAAGCGACCGCCCTGACCTTGAATCTTCGTCAGAGGGACGGAACGTCGCTACTGTAGAGACTACACAGGATCGGGAAATATTCGGCAAGATTCGGCGACGAAGACAACAGAAGCAAGAGAGCAGCGCCTTTGGA